TACACAGTGCCGTCCCGCAACTATTTTTCTATTGTTGCACTACCTGCTCTATACACGCAGTGTCGAGCAACGGTGGAGACGGAATTTCAAGCAGTACAACATTTTGCGGCAACAACAAAACGTGAGACATTAGTTGGTTTTATGTTTATTTATTGTTTTATGTTCAGTCTCAACTGTTACGAAGTTGATGTGCAGTTAATAAGTGCAATAAATATTTATACTGGAAATATTTATACTGGAATTTATACTGTATACTGGAATTATTATATTGGTATTATACTGGAATTTATACTGTATACAATAAATATTTATACTGGAAAAGAAAATCGTGAGAGAATCGTGATCTCAATTCTAAGCCAAAAAATCGTGCAGCCCTAGGTATTGGTATCGGCAATACTCGCCGTCTATGTACTTGGTATCAGATCGATACCAAAAATCTGCAGTATCGCACACTACTGCAGCCATTTTCATTAGTTCAAGTGCAATGCACACATTATGTGAGGCTCAACTACCAAGCCTTCTTACTAAAGCAGATAAGTAAGAGTCAGACAGATGGCATGTCAGACACTGTGCTCACCATCCTGCAGGGCCCATGGTCTCTGCTCTCACGCGGGCTCTGTCAGTCTCCCTGAGGAGCTCCTCCACTGCACGCCTAGATGGATAAATAAAGAGGAAAAAACGTCAAACACTGTTCACGTGAAGGGGAGGGAAAATGAGAAGCCGAGGACAAAGATGGCGCAAATCCTCAAGGGGGAGCCAAGGGGAGAATAATCTAATTAAGTGAGAGAAAACGGAGTGATGCGGAAGAGAAAGTGAATCATCAGGAGCAAAAGGGGAACAGTGTCCTGGTTTGACACGAGCTGCTGAATCGGCACAATCCCAGCAGAGGAGACCCGCTGATCTACTTTTATACAAGACAGGGAGCTCATGGTGTGTGCCACCACGAAGGCATGCTTTCCATACAATCACAAGCTCGTCTAACAACACAATAAATGAGCATCTTTTTTTTTTTTACCGACGGAGCGTTGTTACAGATTTAGAGGAAACCTGCGTTCACCAGTGCGCAAATACGAAGTGAGGATAAATATTAACACGCTACATACTTTTCCAGCTCATTATCTTCTGCCATCGCGATCACACGCAAACTTAATTGCGGTAAAATCGATGGATGGTCGTTAATTAACCCAACATCGCTTGTTTACCTCCTCGCGAGGTCCTTCGACCGAGGACCCCGATGATTTTTGCTGCCCTGAATAATGCCAGATCGTTTTTAGCTTCACCTTCCACCCTTTTCTCTTTTTATGTTTTCTACCATCTCCCAAATAACTTTCTTGGTCAGTAACCGACTAAATCGTTATAACAAAAAAAAAAAATCATGATATTTCAGTTTGGGCTCATTTTATCACACAGTTAACAAAATGTACCCGTTTAGGAAAACGAAAGCGATGCCGTAGTGGTTATTTTTAATTCCCCATTTTACGGTAAACTGGTATAAAGCTGCTGTGTGCATCAAAAATATTAGCTTAACTTAAGAAGTTGGCAGTGTTTTTGTCGTCATTATTTCTGACCATCAACCGACCTAAATTCTGGTGAGGTTTCTTTATTTCATTGCACTGCTTGGTGAATGTTATACGTCAGTGGAAAGGTTTTTTTTGCGCTAATTAACTATTAACATCTCTCAAAACTTGTTGAGAAAGGGAGACACTCTCATCTTTAAAAGCGGCATTTATCCAAAACTGAAAGCTGTAATATTAAGTTTCACTTATTATTTAAAATAAAACTAAGTCATGTTAATACGTTTTAATCTCACGCCCCCTTTAAGCCTTTATAACAGTAGTCTACAATGTAACCAGTAATCTTCAAAAAGAATAACTTACAGTATGAATACTTTTATTTATTTACGTTTTTATGTTTGTTCCATGTATTTATTTATTTAT